ACTGTAAACACCGTGGCATTCTGTAGCCGATCTAATGTTTCCACCACTGTTGGCATTGCACAAGGCTTCAGGTCTGTTATATTATTCAATTCTCTGAAGTCGACACAAAATCTATACTTTCCATTTGGTTTTTTTACCAAGAGTACCGGCGAGCTATATGAGCTGTCCGCTTCCTTAATTATACCTTCTTTCAACATTTCCTGGACCTGACGATTTACCTCGGCCTCTAAATGCACCGGAACACGACGTGTTGCAAATATATTTACTCGACTGTTCTTTATCGGTATTTCGTGCTTTACTCTGTCACAAAATCCATACGGCTCCCCATCTCCAGTGAATAGTTTCGCATACTTTTTGCATAACTCGTGAATGTTTGGTTTCTTTGACGAGACATCCGCTGCAACTCTTATTTCAGCCACTTCGCTACTTTCGTGTATTGTCAATGAACCATATTTCGTGACCACCTTACCGCTTCTTAAGTCAACTATCGCTTTTACTTCTCTTAGGAAATCTGCTCCTAATATCGGTCTCGATAAGCTTGTGGTTACCACGAACGGAAATTTTATCTCAGCATCCCCCACTTTTACGATACTGTTAGATACGCCAAACACCTCTAACATATGGCCTCCTATCGTGTGGACAGCTAATGTACACGGCTTGATTCTCTTACATTGCTCTTTGCCTATTAACGATACTGCTGCACCTGTATCAATCAGACAAACTAAATCTCGCTCATTTATGTTCACTCTCGTATATACTGCCCCTCTGTCTACTAACGCAACAATCCCCAGATTCCTAGGATAGAAAGAACACTCGTTGTAACGTCTAACATATCTGCGTCTTCGTCTTGTTGGACAGTTTATCTTCCAATGTCCTGTCCCTCCACAAGCGTAACATTTATCGTTCCTTTTATTGTTCACTCGTATTGCTGCAATCTCACGCTCCAGCTCCTCAATCTTCTTCTCGACATTACTCATCTCCTGCTTTTCGCACCCGACCGGAGCTACTGTTCGCGTCATCAGCTGACGAGTCACCTTCGCCAGTTCACTGATATTCATCGGTTGCGCTGCGTTCACCAGTTTCAGCTGTTGGGAGACGGTGGCAGGCACACTCTCGACAAACTGTGACGCCAACAACTGTGCCTCCGACTCCTCATCCAGACTCGGCAGCGCACGGCGTAACAATCTGGTAAGCTCCACAGCCAGCACCAGTGGGTCACCATCGACCAGCGATCTCGCCAACCGGAACTTCTGCGATGCCTCCTCTCTGTCCACTGGGCTGTCGAACTCCGCCGCCAACCGCTCCGTGACTGTCTCCCATGCCGTCTTTCCGCCAGCACCGTCCAAGCTGTCATACACAGCCTTCGGCCTGCCTCTCAGCAGCGTCCCCAGCACCACCAACTTCGCCTTCGGCTCCTTCACTCCCACCAGCTCCGCCACGGCCTAAAACTCCTTCAGGGAGCTCAGCACATCTCCGTCCTCAAATTCCTCCAGCCATGGAATCTTCACCCTTAGTGGAGGCAGCGACACCAAATGTAGTGAAGAAGAACACAGGTGAGGACAACCGAATTGTATTTAGCACAAATTACAGAATTACTTGGTAAAATAGAAAAACCATATAGTAAATCGTCAATTTGCAAAATATCATCCTATCATATCAAACCGGACTGTTGCTGTTGCAAACATCAATCCGTTGTCTCACATTTCATTGGTCATGCGATTTCTTACAAATTCCATTGTGTTCTCGTTCTTCCTTGCTTGATCTTCTCCATCTTCTGCTGCCAGACATTACGTTCCTTCAACTCACGTTATATACTACTTATATCAATATAAGTAACACGCACCACACTAGGTCATCTACGGAATCCAAATCGTCTAGTTGCATGCAAGCTGTCCACTATACTTTTTTGATCCTTTTTCAATTATCCTCCATAGTGGTTTCATCTTCTTTGAGTAGATCTTGTAGGGCTTGGAACGTGATGCTGAGAGCTATCTTGGATTTGTCAGTATTTCAAAGGAAGGATGTATTGAACGTTTTTAATGCTGTCTCTCTAGTTGTCCAATGTTTCTTTATCTTCAGTTTTATTTCGGCTACCACCATGTGGTGATCTGAAGCTATGTCAGCTCCTCTCCTGGTTTTTACGCCTTCCATTGACTTTCCGAACTTTTTACTGATGTAAATATGATCCGTCTAAATCTCTGTAGTGTGATCTAATGAGACCCATGTGGCTTTATGTATGTGTTTGTGTGGGAATATTGTGCCACCTATAACCATTTTGTTGAATGCACGTAGATTTGCGAATCTTCCACCATTCTCGTTTCTTTCTTCCAGTCAGTCCATGTCGTCCCAAGACATCTTCATGCCCGAATTCGGCATTTAAGCCCCCCATCAGAATGGTCAGGTCCCTTCCTGGGCACTTCACTAAGATCGATTGCAGCCTCTAAAAAAACTGATCTTTATCGTCGTCATTGCTATCATTGTTTTGTGCATAACATTGAATAACATTCATTGTGATTCCCCCTTTCTTTGTTTTGAGGGATGCTTTGATGATTTTGGGTCCACGAGGTTCCCATCCTATGAGTAACTTAAAACAATTTATTAATAAAATTATGTATATGGTAGGTAATCCTACCGTACTATCATCATACAAGCTGTTAGAGGTATGGAGGCACCTGAAAAGGAAATTGGATAAAAAGGTGGTCTTAGTGACATGAGGGCGTGACCGCAGTGCCCAAGGGACAACTGCTTGGGGTCGGTCACACACGACCTTTGTATGGGTAATTTTTGTGTTAGCTTCGTACTTGTTAAGACCATATCGCCGGAGACAGCAGCATCGCTGTCATGCTGGTTGTCTGAAGGAAACACCTTACTGCTGTCACACCTCTGTACAGTCAGCAGTACGACTTCGCTTTCGGACCTTGGGTTTGTTGCTTTTAGTCTTACCGCTCATCAACCGACCTGTCTGACATGGTAGGACCTTGAGGAACGGTTGTTCCAGCCAGTATAGCTCGGTTGCTTCATCACGATAGGCAAGCCCGACCACCACGTCAAGGTAGCAACAACGATCGGGAATCATACAAGCAAAAATAGTTGGTTTCTACAGTTGTGATATTAGTGTTTCGTCAAGTGTTAAAGGCTACGGATGGATGAGAAATAAAGCGTAAAATATTTCAGACCAAGTGAAATTTCTGCTTTAGTGTTTTCGTGAAGGGATAACATGAAATAGAGACTTATATATAAATAATTTATCTGAGATTTAATATTTAGTTTACTGATTCAGTATGTATTCAAGACATTTTGGTATTTATTGAACCGATATCTATACTTAACCGAATTTCCTATAGTCAGCAGTTGACTTATACTTTTTGTGAGTGGGAGATAATGATACTAAATAAGTAAAAAATTGTTTAATCTATGATTCAAATAATCGAAAATTTCAGCGGATGCGGAAGAAAGTTAGGGGCGGCCAAACCAAAACGTGGCATCAGTGCCTGGAGTCACTAACTTCTAGTCTGAGCCATGTTGGTAGATGCAGACTACTTGGTTGGGGTCCGCGTGACTTTCGTAACCAATGGCTGGAGACTCTTGGTGACATGGCTCAGAATCGATCACAATGGCGTAGGTGTATACACTCACTGTCCTCCCTTAAACTAAGAGATTAAAATCGCTTCATATCTTCCTTTCTACGAACTAGTTCTTTCTTCCTGTACTATATCCTTATTGCAACCTTTGACCTAACCACTCCTATGAATCCGCTGTTCATCTTGCTGTGCTAATGAGGTATGGCAACCTGGACCGATGCACATATGTGCCTGGTCCTACGTTGTAGCTGACTGACTGACTGACTGACTGACTGACCAAGAAAGTACACTAACAAAAAAGTTGTAATTTCAGCACGACTATGAGGAATAATTATCAGTGTGTCAGAACTTAATATTTATTTTGATGCTAAATGCTGACTAGCTTAGGAGTAGGTTAGAGGAAAACGAAGGGTGACCAAACCAAAACGTGGCATTTATTCACAAGGAAACGGACTATCGATCTGAACTATATTGGCAGCTGCAGGTTATGTAGATGAGGTCCAAACGTAAGCTGTAATCATTGGTTAGGGAAATCAGGTAACATTATTCAAAAAGGACTATAACGACGTAGATTAATTTATTCTTTATTATCTTCTATATCGCCTGATAATGCAGTGTATTTCCATTTACCGAGGCTGTGTATGTATGTATACGTATACCTAACCACAGGCTAACTAGACGAATTATGCTTCCTAATGTAGGAGTATGCTGTCAAACCAAGGCGATATCAGTTCATTGATAAGTGAACCGAGCAGTGAAGGCAAGCGCAGATTACCTGGTTGAGGTCCGAGTGATCATCGTAACTAGTGGTTAGACTTTGAGTGACATGGCTCAAAGACGTTTCTAATGGTACACATCTATTCACTCTTTATCCTCCTTCGATTCTTGAATTATGAAATCTCACTAAAACTTTTCGTTTCTTTTTCCTATACCTAATCTTTTCTACTACTTTGAGATTGCTAATTTTATTTCGTTGCGGTGTGGCAACTTCAACCTACCTATAGGTAGTTTCGGCAAACAGAAATAAGATGTCTGTAATTGGATGCAATTATCAAACGTAGGTTTGTGCATACATTTTGAGTGTTACGGCTGATGATATTACCTCGCTGCGAGTGGAGTGACATTTGAGACTGTGACCTACTATTGCTTTCAAGGCGTGCTTTAACCACTAATCAACCGACATCAGATGATCCCAAGCATCAAAAATCAGGAGTTAGCAAGGTTACCTCAAAATTGCAAGTATATGACTAAATTTATAAATAATTTAATTCTCTCAATGATAGTGACTGGCTAATCAGGAACAGACAAAAGGAATTACTTTGAATATTCAAATAATGACTAGAGATGATCTAATCTTTTGAAAAAATCATAAACACAACGAGAAGTTGAGAAACTGTGATCCTATAAACCATAACTTACCTTCCTGAAGTGAAATTATAAAAATTATGAGTACCCATATACTTTTCAAGTAAACGATTAACATGTGTAATTTGTTCAACTGTTAAACGATAAGTCCAACAAGTGGAATCGTTTAATAATGAAGTAGCAGGTGATAAGGCGAATGTAGGTAATAGATAATCATAAATTCGATGTGTACACGAACCGTATGAAGAAAACCCACGAGTTACGCGAATAATATCTAAAAGGCAAAAACGAAACACAAAGCTGTACACTCAATATATATATATATATATATATACTTTCTATCTTGTTACTCAATACTGGATGCTTGAAGGGTTGTGTTGTCACCTTTACTATTCCAGGATTCGACCTAACACCTTTATTTTTCTGTCCTTCTTGGGTACGGCAACTTGAACTGATGTACATACATACCAGCTTCTACGTTATGACAGATCATTTCAGTTTTTTCATCTGCTACTAATTATCATCTTTTTAGTCTGTTTGTAGGCCACGGACTATGTGATTAAAACGTTCGATGTCCAGTTTCTAAATCTAGGATTTGAGCCTTGTTTTTTGTCGAACTAGGCCTCACAAGTATGGGAGTGGAAGCAAAGTATCAGAGCATTTGTTAATTAAATTTATTGGTTTAAACACATAAACATTGGTACAAAGGGGCACCAAACAGATATGTGCCACATAAATCAATTGATTTGTGTGTGGGATGTGATACTGCACGGGCGACTAAACCGAAGCAGGTGGCTTTGTTAGGGGGCCACACCCGGAACCTCCGACCTAAAGGTTTAATCCACAAGGCAGTGGAGCAACGTCAGAAGATGCAGACCCATGGTAGCCGGTGGTCAACAATTGGTTCATACACTACTTGTTCCCTCAGGATACTGGAGTCCATGTGCACTACTGATTTATAATCAGGGTTTTCCAAATTCTTGAAGTGGATCCTCCGTATCCACCAGTCCGGTTAAGGCGCCGGACATTCGCCTTTCGTCCTCTCAACTTCGTGAACAACACCCCCCGCCACGATAGGCAGTGAGTAGAAATTCCTTGGGAGTGGTTGTATACGCGTGATCATGTGAGAGCGTTTCGAGAGGGAGAGCTAACTCTTCCAACCCTCGGCAGTACCAGGGCATTTGGGAGCATGGAGAGCCAGTCAGACAGTAGCAACATAGAACCTCGTACGTACGTACATCGGTTCGAGTTGCCATACCAAATTAGCACAGAGATGTAGTTGTCGATTCAAATCCTGTAATGGTAGAAGTGGTAGAGTATAAACAGTAGTCGGAAAGGTTAAGATTTGAAAATGTTATTCAAGGAGTATAATTCAGTGAAATAAATTTGGAAAGAGAAAAAGAAAGGGGCATGAAGAATTCAGAAGATGAAAATTTTGGTAAACACAAAGTGTGAATACACCTGCGCCATTGCAAGCGATTTTCAGCCCTGTCATTTAAGGTCTCTAACCATCGGTTGCTATCATTTTGCGGATCCCAAACAGGTAGTCTACACCTACCAACATGACTCAGTCCACTTGTCAGTGACTTCATGGATTTGTGCCATGTTTTGGTCTGGCGGCCCTAAGCTTTGTTCCAGCCTACTCCGACACCATAAAACATCGCACGTCGAGACAGTCGGTCGTTGGGCATACGTAACACGTGTCCCAGCCATCTCAACTGATGAAGTTTCACTACGTCATCAATTGATTTGCCATCCTTACCTAGTACCCGTTTCCTAACAACTGTGTTACTTACTCGATGGTCCCAGGATATACGAGCAATGTTTCGAAGACACTTATGGTCAGATACTAGTAACCTACGAATATTCTCTACTCTTATCGGCCATGTTTCACTGCCATAAAGTAGGACGGAACGAACTGCTGCACAGTAAACACGTCCTTTGGTTGATAGACGGATATCTCGCCTACGCCATAAATGACGCAAGTTGGGAAAAGCTAGTCGAGCTTTCTGTATCCGTGCTAAGATTTCGTCACACACCAGACCACAAGGGCTGATGAGACTTCCAAGATAAGTGAAGCGATCGACACGCTCAATTACTCCACTCCCTATCATTAGTTCGGGTGTCCATGCAACCTAATCCTGAAGCAACATTTTGCATTTCGAGGGGAGAATCGCATCTCGAACATTCGTCACCGTCTATAGAGAGCAGGCTGTTCCTCGATAAGCTGGTTACCTTCCGAGACATCATTGGATGTCACCATTTGATATCTCATCAACTTCATAAATTGTTTCATTCACACTAGACTCTGCGTCAGTGGCTCAGATAGGTTAAATAGCTTTCCGAAGTTGCCAGATGCTGGAGCTGTTTCTTAATTGATAGCATTCTTCAACCACCAAATTTTTACACGAAATGAAATTTTCTCAAGTAGGAACCAACGTTCACCATCAAAGTTGAGATTAGCCAGAGCAGACCGACGTTCCCTCAAGATTTGCTGGGAACTTAATGATTGATTACGATATGACCAACCTGATTTCAACCCAGCAACTTCTATATCGTGCATTGATTGCCGGTGCTGAGGTGGAGTGGGAAAAGAGGAAAGGTGGTCAATCTATGATATGGTCCAGTAGTGTGGAAAAAAGCTTTTCAAGATTGGCATCTGCCGCCCTACTATGAATCACTGGATAGGGTTTTATAGATATTACAACTCAGTGACTTAAGACGTTATCAGATATTGCTCAGAATTAGAAACCAGTGGTGGATCCCGCTCTAGTTCCCTTCTATATTCCTCATAAAACAGAGAACTTCAACTGAAAGGATCCTTCTTATTAGTATCTTTTTAAAACTGACTGCCTATTACAATTCATCCTCGTTCACTCATTTCAATTCATTTGTTCAGTTGACCATCCTTCCATTCCTTTCTCTATCTCCACACACTGTCGTTTTCTTATTGGTGTGGGGCAAATTTATTTTGGCGTCCAGTTGTACTAGTATTTATGTGTATGAATAAATGAGTAATAAGTACTTAGTTCGCTCATACAAAGGTTGGGAAATATACTGTTTATGTTCTTCAGAAAAGGTGATTAACAAATGAGCCTGTGAACTTACCAAGAACACGAATATTTTCAGGTAGGGCTTTGTTTAATTTATTTAATAAATCTGTGTCTTCGTGTAACTTCGGGGGAGAATAAAAATTAGTTTAATCCATTAATAAAGAGACCTACTTGCATGGAACAAACTTGTCCAAGAGCGGAAACGGATTTGTCAGTTTTAGATGCACGTTGAAAATGAACCTGAAAGTCGGATGGAAATAAACAGAAGGATGAAATGCTGTTTAGCTCTTGTCACATATACTAATATATAATTATCAATAATTGAATGGTAGCCAAAAGCATGTTCGATATCGAGCAGTATTGTCCAATGTTGAGCAGAAACTTATTGAGTTGGAAATGAATGTAACAAGCATTAATTACCTTAAAGAAATAGGTTGTTTAATATAAAACAGATGGTAGCGATTGAAATCAACAACTGTCCAGTCACCAGAAAAGTGAGAAAATTGCTCAGATTATTTCATAATATCACTAGTTTTGTGATGAACACGCTGGGATAAACATCGTTTCGATAACTGATGAAGACAGTGTCTCAACCAACTTAATTCAGTCATAGGAGAGGTAGCTTGGTGGTTAGCATATCTGGTTTTAAACCAATCGGTCATAGGCTTGAATTTCGCTTCCTATATTTTAATCTAGACAACCAGTTAATATCTCCAAACCTTGTACATTGTAGTACGAATATATATATATATATTAGTTCTAAACAGCTGATTATACATGTGGTTATAAATCAGTTAGTCATAAGTAAATAAGATTAAAAACGGGTTTTGTTGACGGGATGATAAGCAGAATAATAAAGTAATATACATTGGACGCAAGTATACAAGTATATGTAAAGCAATAAACCTCACACCATCAGGTCAGAGGTGCGATTCTTGCTTCATTTACTTCAAACTGAACGATGAGGTAAATACACCAGTTCATACACAATATTTTTATTTTATTTTAACACATAGATATTGGTACAAGAAGGCACCAAACACATATGCGCCACACAAATCTCATTTGATATGTGTGAGGGCTGTGATACTGCCTGGGCGCTCAAACCGAGCAATATTGGTGGTTCAGTACAAAAATCTTTACATGGTTATTGAGTTGCGGTACGAAACTACTGGTTTACATCTTAGGCAAATCATACCTATTTTATCGCGTTGGCTTTTATGCTAAAATTTTGTTTGTTGAAGGCCGGGTGATTATCTGACAGTTTGAGACAGTAGCATGAAATAAACTGTCGAGTTTCTTTGGCACGTACTGATGTGCCCTGATACTGTTGAGTAGTAGTTCGAAAAGTTGACAGGTACAGATACACATAAACACTATTACTAAAGTCATACAAAATTATTTATTTGAACACAAATATTGATACAAAGGGGCACCAAACAGATATGTGCCACATAAATCAATTGATTTGTGTGTGGGATGTGATACTGCACGGGCGACTAAACCGAAGCAGGTGGCTTTGTTAGGGGGCCACACCCGGAACCTCCGACCTAAAGGTTTAATCCACAAGGCAGTGGAGCAACGTCAGAAGATGCAGACCCATGGTAGCCGGTGGTCAACAATTGGTTCATACACTACTTGTTCCCTCAGGATACTGGAGTCCATGTGCACTACTGATTTATAATCAGGGTTTTCCAAATTCTTGAAGTGGATCCTCCGTATCCACCAGTCCGGTTAAGGCGCCGGACATTCGCCTTTCGTCCTCTCAACTTCGTGAACAACACCCCCCGCCACGATAGGCAGTGAGTAGAAATTCCTTGGGAGTGGTTGTATACGCGTGATCATGTGAGAGCGTTTCGAGAGGGAGAGCTAACTCTTCCAACCCTCGGCAGTACCAGGGCATTTGGGGGCAGCATGAGGCCTCGCCGAGAACCTAGCTCAGGTCGCTCGATATAACAATAATTTTGATAGGAATAGTTGTTGACTTACTCTTTTATGTTCTTCACCTGTCAGATTATCGAGTTGACCACAAGTAAAGAGAGCTTTAGACAATTCTCCTTCAATAGTTGGAAAAACAGGGCATCTGATTGGAATTTTATTTACACAAACACAAAGACAGTAATAAAACACTACTGAAATTCCAAATATATAAAATAATCTTACAATTAGGAATTGCCAAACGGTTAAAAAACACATGGGCGTGTAAAAATAAAATTCTCATTTAAGCGTTTTACAAAAATTGTTCTCAACATACGAAGATGTAATTAGGGTAATAAAACATGTACCCCATGAAGATACAAATCAAATGTAAAAATTGAAGAATTGGAAGGAAAAACGGTGTACAAAGCATTAAGGTTAAACGTGAACTCGTATCCTTATATGGAAAACAAAAGTAAACTATATTTGTACAGACGATTATGACTTGACAGTATGTCCGAAAATGTAAAGATGCACGAGTAATCTCCACCTGAAAAACCCCTGTTATCAAGCTTGACAATCAACCTAAGAGTTAACGTCTTAGGAACTTAACAGTCTAGACAGTTTAATTAAAATATTTGGTCCTCAAGAACCAGTATAAGATAACGACTATCAGTCAAATAAACCAAACGTGGAAAAAAGGATTTGTCAAAGTTTCCACACTACAGCGAAATAAAATTAACAATCTCAAAGTAGTAGAAAAGATTAGGTATAGGAAAAAAAAACGAAAAGTTTTAGTGAGATTTCATAATTCAAGAATCGAAGGAGGATAAAGAGTGAATAGATGTGTACCATTAGAAACGTCTTTGAGCCATGTCACTCAAAGTCTAACCACTAGTTACGATGATCACTCGGACCTCAACCAGGTAATCTGCGCTTGCCTTCACTGCTCGGTTCACTTATCAATGAACTGATATCGCCTTGGTTTGACAGCATACTCCTACATTAGGAAGCATAATTCGTCTAGTTAGCCTGTGGTTAGGTATACGTATACATACATAAACAGCCTCAGTAAATGAAAATGGGTGGAAGATAGTTAGGGGCGGCCAAACCAAAACGTGGAATCAGTGTTTGAAGTCACTAACTTCTGGTCTGAGCCACGTTGGTAGATGCAGACTACCTGATTGAGGTCCGAGTGATCATCGTAACTAGTGGTTAGACTTTGAGTGACATGGCTCAGAGACATTTATAATGGCACACATCTATTCACTCTTTATCCTCCTTCGATTCTTGAATTATGGAATCTCACTAAAACTTTTCGTTTCTTTTTCCTATACCTAATCTTTTCCACAACTTTGGAATTGCTACTTGCTTGTGGTCCGCGTGTTTATCGTAACCAATGGTTGGAAACTCTTGATGACATGGCTCAGAATCTACCACAGTAGTGTAGGTGTATACATTCTTTGTCTTCCCTTTAACTATGAGATTAAAATCGCTTCATATCTTTCTACGAACTAATTTTTCTTCCTGTACTATATCCTTATTGCAATCTTTCTTTTGCATATTAGCACCACTGGATTGACTGCTTCTATGAGTTCGGTCTTTACCTGTTGCGCTAATGAGGCGTTGCAACTTGGACCGATGCACATATGTCCCTGGTCTTACGTTGTGACTGACTTACTGACCACATCTATCTAATACCCTATGTCTAACCTCAACACTTCAGTTGTCCTAGTATATATGAGCAGTGAACTGGTTTGACTTATCGTTTAATTGAGAAATGGAAAGGAAGATAGTCATGAGCACTGGATATGATTTTGAGTTAAATCAAAGTTGATGAGCTGGTAGGAGCTTTAGTATTAGGTCCATGACACTAGTGACACGTCTGATAAAAGCAATTCAAGTTCGAGTACGCAACCTAACCTTTTTTGTGGATAATTTAGGAGATTGTATATATACAAGAATACTTTTAAGACAGTTGGAATCCACTTGCGGTTTAATACTGCCTTTTTACTAATATCTGATATTTCGTAAACATATATGGAAGCAGAGCGAGCTGCTGGTCTTTTGTTTGGCAAACAGATGTCTCGATTACATCACAAGTGATGAAAGTTAGCACAATTCAACCGAGCCTTCTGAACCCGTGCCTAAATTTCGCGAGACATCGAATTTAACACAGGTGATAGGAATGATTGTTCTGATGACGTCATTAACCCGACCCATTAATCCGGTCTCTTTATTGCATTATGACGAAAGACATCATCATGTCAACCTAAAACTTTTTGAATAGTGGCAAACTACCTAGATAAGGTCTTTTGACTCTAATAGGTCAGTTAGCAGTGGTTTACGCAATGAATACAACTAAAGGTTCCCGATCTTTAGTATTTTTATCATCCTAGAAAAGCTGTTTACGCTTTTATATAATATGATTCAGTTTTATAATCAATCTCAGGTAGTAGTATTTTCGCATTCCTCGAAATTCTAAATCATCATTCACTGAACCCGAATATTGTAAATGGCACGTACTTCTAAGGACACTTCTAGTGTGTATAAATAAATGTATATACTTTGTGCAGCGATATAGGAAATGTCCACGATGATAGAAGCAGCTGCCCTCACCATACAACATAGGATATGAAATCGCTCCTATTAGTCGACAACTGTTTCCGTTAATCTATATTTTGTAAGGAAGTTTCGGTCAATGACACAAACTTAAGGCATGTAGCATGTTAGCGAATGTTTACATATACAAACACAATAAATTGTTCACAATCAAAAAGTCGAATAAATTGCGCATCAGATTGTCAACTAACCTTTGCATACCGTAATAACCCCAGCCTGAATACATCAACAAAATGGCATTATTCCTACGTCTAGGTCTGGTAGAATGATTGGACGAAGCAGAGACTGATTCATCAACAATAGGTTTTGAAGATGGTTGTTTTAAATTGGCAATTTCGTAAGACTTCAAGACGGACATCATAGAAAGAAAGAAATCACCGAAACGGTTTGACAACCTTTTCATAAAACTTCACGTGAAATATTGTCAATCTCTCAAACCAAGCTCTTTTTCCCGCTTCTCTTTAAAAATAAGTGCTTTCGCGTAGTCTTGTTGCTGTTTTTTGATAATAGGTCGTTTAAATATATAATACTGGGCTAGTGAAATAACTGTGTACCCTGTCAGGACTACACCGAACATAAAGCAAGTGAAGACTGCACCACGATGAGCAGTCGTAAGAACACGGTTTAATGTGCTTCTTTGGTAACTCTTTTTCTGCATAATAGCATAACAGCACGACCACGCCGTAGCCACTATTTGAAAGCCCCCTAATGTGTCCAACATCCAATATACAATATTTGAAAATAAAACGCTGTGTAGGAATGATGAAGTTGGATAAACCACCAGCTTACCTAGTAAGTGAAGAGTGATTTGATCAATGTTAATCAAGTGCAATTTGGAAGTTGGTTTTCGCAACTAATCCATGACACCCGGAAAAGAGGTGTGGTATTTGTTGTAGATAACGTAAATTCATTTCAAAGAAGCACAGAAATAGTTGAAGTCAAGTCCGTAAGTGATGAGTCTTATTGATTTTGCGGCCATTGAGGCAGTAAGTTGTCATGAGTTAGTTATAGGGAATTGCTGAAGACTATTTTTAAGGGAATTTATAGGCTTGGCAGGAATATTCTCATAGTCTTTGTTAGTAAATGAGTAGACTCAGGGCCGGAATTGCGATTGCGGAGTTTTGGTGGATGTGGTAAATCTGCGTTTTTAATAAAACATTGATACAACGTCCTGTCATTAACTGTCCAAATTTTTGAACACTACAATCTTTCTGAATATTATAAGTTATTGAAGTGGGTAAGCGGTCCCAGCCAAGTTTAATGTATGCGGCATAATGCATTATTGTCCGCTTCACGTAATTTCGAGCAAACACTACGTGTTTGACAGACCTTTGATTTAAGTAATTAGGTATATTAAACTTTACGGGATTTTGCATGCACTGGGGTCTTTTAGTTTCATCCATTAACACGTAGACTGTATAAGCGTTCTACTCGAAACAAAGCAAACGAACAGGCAGTCACAGTTTATATAAGTTATCACTGTGGTCCTAGATTTTCAACACTTGCCATCACAAAGGCTATATATTATACATTAGTAGTTAAAACACTGATGATTTAAAAATACATGTCAGTTAGCTAGAAATAACCGATATTGTTACCACCGTCTGATTTGGGATAAAGTTGTTGATGTTTACCACGTGAAAGTCGAGCTTTCGTTAACACAGTTCAATAAACAGAGAATGTTAGTATTTTACGTCACGAACGTTAAATGTCAGGGGCTAATTTCATCGCTTTTTGGCTTCAACAGATAAGATCTCGTCAACCGAGTATTTAAGTAGTGTCATGAATTTACTCAAGAATGTTCAAACGATAGAACAGCAGTTGTTGTGGTGTTGTATTGTTAATAGTCAGTAAGATCCTCAACCACGCAAAAGGCAAGCTTACCGGGAAGCCAGAGTGCGAGTCGAAAAATCTGTCTGTAACTAATAAGCGTTAACCAATTGTGGGGAATTCGCAGATTACCTGCGTAAATAATTAATGAAGGAAAAGATGAAGATAAAGGCGCAGACTTGCGTTTAGTCAGATGTGTAGTGGTATTGGTCCTGACCACTCAATCCTCAAAGCTGAACATGACACATCTGGGAAAATAGTTATTCAACACTTAACACTGAGGAAGGCCAACAATGGCGAACTCGGGAATATTGGTGTGACTAGCAAGCGTTAAACTAGAACAAATGTTTATATGCGTTGAAATGTTACATATATGTTTGACACGAACGGATCGCATAAAATTAGGATGTAAGCACAATTAAGATCAGTGAAGCCAATAAAAAATAATCGTAAAACTAATGATACCAGTAGGAAAAGAGAACTTTTGTGCATAAAGGTCATATGAATGATCTCGTAGTTTTGTTTAGATAAAGATGATGGTTGCCAAGTACCTATCTGACCAGTGTACTATGACATTAGTATGTAACAGCTCAGGTTGGTTGGTTAAGAGTTGACCCCAAACAACCAAGCATATGCCAAAACAGTATTGTTCAAGTATTCATTCACTTCCTTATTTTTTATAAGCGTTATATTCCCTATTATCTTATATTGAATGTTGAGAGCCTTTGTTTGTCTGAACAGATAATCCCGCGCTCCACTGTGACTGCGCGAAGATCGAAATAAAGACCTATTCACTACTTCTCTGGTTTCTTCTATCAATAGCACGAGGGTTACCTTAAGGCACGAAACTGGTGAGCCCTTTTTGAACACAAATTTAACCTCATTTCTGTTATTAAAATATTTTACTTAATCGTAAAAGTAGACCTGCTTATCCGTAAACTAAGTTCAGTATATAACTAGTTTATCCCGTATTATCTTAAGTTATTCGCGTTATATTAACCATTTTTCGTGCTAACTTTATTGCTATATTTGTCACATACCTCATGTCAGACTCAATAGAAACCCATAATCTGGAGGATTTGTCACCAGTGGAGATAGACACTGTTATGACTACGAATTCTCGACTTCCAGAATTTGATCGTAGTGATCCTGAGTTGTGGTTTGCTCAACTAGAGCATTATTTCACGAGACACAATATCAAATCTGAAGGGATTCGCTATGGAGACTTGTGTTCTATCCTTCCTCCTTCAGTCGCCAAAGAAGTCCGTGACTTGATTTTAGATCCACCATCACCACAACCATACACCATCTTAAGACGAGGGATAATGAACCGTTTATCATTATCAGATAGTCAAAGAATCCAAAGACTTTTTCAAGGTGAAACGCTAGGTGATCGGTCGCCGTCACAGTTTTTACGTCAACGACCACGACCCAAGTCACAAAACAGGTCACAAATGTCCAGACAATCTGGGCAGTTTTGTTGGTACCACTGGAAGTTTGGTGTCAACTAAACCAAGTGCATGCAACCATGCGCCTGGCCTAAGCATAATTCTAAGACAGCGGGAAACGAGTAACCACTCCTCAGGTCGCGACGACTGAGGAGGGGTGCCTAAACAGTCGCTTGTTTTATGTTAGAGACAGAAACTCCGGCTTGAATTTCTTGATGGATACTGGCGCTGCTCTTAGCATCATCCCTCAAAATGAAACTGAGATTAGTCGAGAAACATCCTCAATTACACTTCAAGCTGCAAATAAAACTAAAATCGCGACATTTGGGCAGAAAACTTTAACCCTAGATTTGGGGTTCAGGAGGCAATTCCCTTGGGTTTTCACGGTAGCCGACTTAGATCTGGCAATACTGGGGATGGACTTTCTAGAGTGATACGAATTTCTGGTTGACACCAAGAAACGGCGATTAACACTAAAAGAAACTTCGTATTACACAAAAGGCAAAGAAAGTCACATCAGCTCTCTTAACTTGATCCAAACTCCTCCAGTAACAACAGCGAAATTCCAAGATATACTCGCGGAATTTCCAAACTTAACTAAACCAAACCCACAGCCTTCCAAAGACAAACTAAAAGTAAGTCACACTATCAAAACCGAAGGTGCACCGGTTTTTGCAAAACCCAGGAGACGACTAGCACCAGATAAGCTCAAAATCGCTAGGGCCGAGTTTGATTATATGCTACAATTGGGTATTATCCGTCCCTCTGATAGTCAATGGGCATCCCCTTTGCATATGGTCCCAAAGAAGAATGAAGGTGACTGGCGACCGTGCGGGGATTACAGAGCCCTCAACCGTCAAACCGTACCAGATAGGTACCCAATACCGCATATCCAAGATTGCACAAACGGTTTACAGGGTATGAACATATTCACTAAAATTGACTTAGTCAGGGCATATCACAATATCCCAGTGGCTGATGAAGATATCCCCAAGACAGCTATTACAACACCCTTTGGCTTATTCGAGTTTGTACGCATGCCATTCGGCCTGAGAAATGCGGCACAGACATTTCAAAGATTCATAGACAACCTACTTCGAGATATGCCATTTGCGCAGGGGTATATAGACGACTTGTTAATTGCCAGCCCCGACTTGCAATCACACGAACAGCATGTACAAGCAGTGTTGAAAAGACTGGATGAACATGGAATAAACATACATCAAAGTAAGTGTGTTTTCGGTGTTCAAACTTTAGAATTTCTCGGTCACACAATAAGCCCAGAAGGGATTAAACCGATCAAAAAAGAAGTAGACATCATCAAACAATACCCCATACCTAGTTCTCTAACACAACTGAGAAGTTTTCTAGGTCGAATTAACTTTTATCGCAGATTCATACCAGGTTGTGCACAATTAATACAACCTTTGACAGATTCACTCAAAGGAAAACCAAAAGAATTCAAACTGTCTTCTGACGCCATCGAAGCTATTAAACAGCTTAAAGATAAATTAGCTCAAGCAACTACGTTGATGTGTCCGAATTCTCTTTCCCCACTTGCTTTGATGGTGGATGCTTCAGATAAAGCAGTAGGCGGTACCCTTAACCAACTGGTTAAAAACGCCTGGAAACCAATTGCTTTCTACTCAAAAAGACTTGCTCCAGCAGTGACAAGGTATTCTACCTTCGGACGAGAACTTCTTGCAATCTACCTAACCATTAAACACTTCCGACACATGTTAGAAGGCAGGGAATTCATAATCTTTACGGATCACAAACCACTAACGAATGCACTAAAAGCGAGAGCTGATAAATACTCACCTCGAGAAGTCCGACACCTTGACTATATATCACAGTTCACAAGCGATATCCGACATGTCAAAGGTCAGGACAATCAGGCGGCAGATGCTTTATCTAGGCTAGAAATGAACGTGCTACAGCAGTCCACAGTAAACTTCGAGACGTTGAGAAACGAACAAGAGCAGGATCTAGAATTACAAAACCTGCTTAAAACAAACAATTCAAGTCTTAATTTAAAACAGTTCCCATCACCTGTCGATGGTATTCCAATCTACTGTGACACGACCAAGGCAATTCCGCGACCTTTCGTTCCCAAAAGTATGCGAAAGTTGATATATAATAACTTTCATTCTTTGTCTCATCCTGGCGCAAAAGCTTCAACAAAACTAATCAATGCCAGATATATATGGCCGAATTTACAGAAGGATGTACACAAATGGGTTAGAGAGTGTTCAGCATGTCAACAATCAAAGACTAATCGTCACACAAATTCACCCATAGGTGTTTTCTCGCAACCGGATGCACGTTTTGCCCATGTGCATATCGAATTGGTAGGTCCTTTACCACGT